CGCTTTTTTCTTCCTGGATATTCATGTAGTTGGCGAAATAATACGGCGATAAGAGAGAGGGCTTCACATAGAAATCGACTAATTATTCATAAATTTGACACCCGAGGGACACCAACATGGCGGACACTAACTTCAGCAAAGCTTGTGACGTCACCTGAAACCCAACCATACCATATATATAGGGCTCCCCACCACTTAACCATCAACTTATTTTTTGTGATGACCAAAGTTTAATTAGGGGTTGTTGTTTGTGATTTGCGGTGAAATTGTGAATTGTGAAACTCAAAGAAGCAGAGTTAAGAGTCCTGATGAAACTCTTGCAATTTGATATCTTCCAACTTTAACATTGTATGTATTCACCCAAGACTGAGACAAATCCATCTAGAAGAGGAACAGGGTGAGAAGAGGGAGGAATGTTCATATTTTTGGTCTTAATGCACAAGTGTACCGTCTATGTTAGTGAAAATGCACCAATTGTATGACATTAACTGATTGCAAAGAAGGTCAACCGAGGTTTTGACAGTATGGACTAAGCTAAGGAAGGGCTATATTAAAAAGGAAGAAGGCCTTTATTTCCTTAACGAAAGCTTCCTGTATAAAACATCATGCACACTGTTAATGGGGCATTAAGGCTTTTGGGTTACAACCCTTGTAATCAACTATACACCAGACAATGCTCAGACTAGGCCACATTGAAAGCTCTGAAAGTTACATGTACTTCTGTATCATATATTATGTCGCAAAAGTTTAGAGACTTTTCAACACTTATAGTTTGGTTATAAATTTTTTGGCCATAATTGCAATCAGTGTAATGCAGTAAAATTAATTGTAAATTTACTGTCAAGTGCTCAAACATTCATTTTGGATGGAAATAATTGTGAATTGAAGCTCACATGAAAAGTTGAAAAAAATGTTATGAGTAACAGAGATAATTAACTTGGGGTGAGATCCTTCAGATGTGGCAGAAGATATGAAGTGGAAAGATTTAAGGATTTATCATGTTTATTATCATAATTACCTCGCAGCTTGTGATAGGAGTGCCATAGGTTTGGAAAATGGTGGTAAAAATTCCAGACAGCAGCTTCAGCGCCTCATCACAGTTTAATGAAAGATATGCAGCAAAAAATGGCAGACTGAAGAAGGATAGAGCATGGGCGTCCAAGAATAACAATAATGTTGATGACTACCTACAAATTGATCTGTTGTATGAGTATATTATCTGCGCTGTAGCCACTCAAGGAAATCCAAAAAAAAATACAGCTGCAGAAGAGTGGACCACACATTACAAGATTCGTTTATCACTTAATGATAACACATTTAGCATCTACAAAGAAAACAATAAAGTGAAGGTTGGTCTATGTGAAGGTTGTGAACATAATTAATGCTTAATTTACATTTAGTGCAGTTATCAAATTTTCTGCGTCAAGATAAGGTTTCATGGGATTTGTTTCCTTTTTCAAAATTTCAGTTTTGATGAGTTCTCTTTTTTAACTGATTGTAAACTTAAAAAGCTCAACCGGATCATGCAGTTCACACCTCACATTCAGCACTTCTCGGTAATTCAAAGTGATGCCCATTAATATATTGCTTAATTTAAAAGAGACACTCCCTTGCGCACATTTAAGCTCCTGTAAGAGACAAGAAGATAATGTTACAATTTGTTGTCTCAGATGCTACCTGCAAACAGTTAATTGTTTTTATGGGTACACCAGTGTTTGTAATGACCACTCAATTTATACTTAACTGGTGTGGAGTAGTTTGATTTAGGAATGAAACTTTTTGATCCGTGAACCTGGTTAACTTGACATCTTGCTGTATGGATCTTTCCCCTTTTCTCCGTGTAAAATTTCAAAGGCATGTTTTTATGATTTTGAAGGACCTAAGAGATAGTCTGTGCTGTTCTTTGTTTGTGCCCCCTAGCTGTGGAACTGTCTATCCAGTTAGATTATTAGTAGTTAGTACCTTTAGGTCGTCTCTGAAAACTTTTCTTTTTGAACGCTGTTATATATCTTAGGGTATTTTAAGTTTTATTATATTTTTATTGTGAAGCGCTTTAGAGACTTTGCATTATCTAGATAACTTTCTACTGTATTCCAGTAACTTAATAGTATAATTTACGTATTTCAAAAACAGTTAAATTACAATCCTTAAGATAAATTGCAATCAGGATAAGTTTCATAGGTGCATGTGTGCATGCAGGAAAACCAAGTTTATTTCAGAATGCTAGTAGCATCGTTCTCTGTCATAAGTTAAAAGTTTATGTTCTTGGATTAAGTGGTGATTATTGTGGTTAATGATGCATTATCTTAATTAAAATATGTGAAAAATGAGGTCTCTTGTTCTGCTACCAACTCTAGATTTTTCCTGGAAATACAGACAAAGATAGCATCGTAAAAAACAGTCTAAATAAATCTTCAAGTGCAAGATACATCCGCCTTGTGCCAACACGACGACATGGCCATAAAGTTTTGAGAGTGGAGGTGTATGGAATACCTCTAACTAAAGGTAACTATTTGAACACTTTTCACCTTGAGATCTACATAATCAAAGTTATTATTAAAGCTATTTGCTAATGGAAAGCTAAGTATCCCTCAATGGTTACTGCTCCTGGTTAACTGACTCATTAAAGTTTTAGAGCTGGAAATAATAAAATGTTCGAATCAACACCTCACAGGTACTGATGCAGTTTAACCCAAAATATTTTATCCACTATGCTTTGATCCTGTGCACTAGTGACAGACTGCCCATGTATACACTACACATGAAGCAAAATTAATGATCCTATGATATGATCACAAATTTACCCTCCCAATTGCGCTGAATTGTATAATATTAAAAAGTAAGTTGGATTTTAAGAAAGCAATTCTTCAGAATAAAGATGGTAGTCTTCTTTGTTGATACATACAGGGTTATGTGGAAGTCAGATGTTACAGAAAAAACTAACCATTAGAATGCTGTCAATGCATTAGCTAATGGAACTAATGAAGTTCATGTTGATAATTTAATAGGCATTATCACTTAACTTTAATGAAGTTTACAGTATGTTATTAATTAACCAGCAAATGTTACGGTTTTTCTTTATTTTCAGTTCCATCACAACCTCCTGCTTCTTTTAAGCTGACTGCAAACTCCTCTACCAGTATTACAGCTTCTTGGCAGTTACCACCAGTATTTGCCAGACATGGAAGAAACATCGAGGGGTTCAAACTATTTTACCGAGAGAAGGGCTTTGCAGGGTCTTTTAACTTCTTGAATGTTACCAGTGGATCAACATTAAGCAGGCTTGTGGCTGGGCTTAATACGTATACAGAGTATGAATTTCAAGTGTTGGCCTACACATCTGATGGAGATGGACCAAAAAGTTTTGTTGAGGTGGAAAGAACGATGGAAGGTGGTGGTATGTGACAGTCCAGGGATAATGAAAGGATCTGTGAACCACATTTTTGTGATTTTTTCCATCATTATCAGGCATTTCCTGACAATGAGATACTAAACACATCATGAGAAGGGTAAACATCTAGCTAGTGAGGTTTCAACTGATTACTTCAACAAAAGACAACAGCAATAATTTCATGCAGCAAGTTAAGATATGACATAAGGTTTTTCAGTCATTTCTACTGGTAGTTAAACTAATTAAGACGCTATTGTCCAATTGCAGTTCCTTCACAACCTCCATCCAACTTCAAAGTCACTGCAACCTCTTCTACCAGTGTTACGGCATCATGGCAACTACCACCAAAAGACTCCAGAAATGGAATGATTAAAGGATTCAAGTTGTTTTACAAAAGGAAAGACTCTTCAGGGTCAGGAAACATCCTAACTATCAATGGTGAATCAACTTTAGGCAGAGATGTCAATGGTCTTGACAAGTACACAGAGTACGACTTTCAAGTGTTGGCCTTTACTTCTGCTGGTGATGGAGTAAACAGCTCTGTGGTTCGTAACAGAACAAAAGAAGACGGTTAGAACAATTGCTTGTTTTGTATTCTTCAAAAAAGTTAAAAACTTTTAAACAAAAGACCAGATACACGCATAATAATTATTTCTCATACAGCTTTCTGAAGTGGAACGAAAAACGAAATTGTACAGTTATGCAATTACATGTATATGATGAGTATGACCATATCTATGACCATATCGATATATAAGTGAGTCATTATTGGTAAGGTAATTATCTTAATATGAATAACAGTGTGAGTATTCTGATTTATTCTGATTGGCCATCAAATAATTACTATTTACTCATAAATTTTTGCATGCCAACGAATGTTGACAATTCTCTTTCCTGTTATTATTGGTAGCCTTCCTCTTGGAGTTAGACCTTGATGATGCACCCTTAGCTGCGTTTCAAATTCGTAATTGTCAGATTCTATTCTGTTCTGAGTTCCACAAGGTCTAGCTCGATTGCAAAGGAATGAAAAATCCGACATAAAATTTTTGAAGGATGACATATTTTCAAATATTTGATCATTTGGTGTGAAGGAATAGAATGATGCCCCTCTAGTACCCCCTAAAGCCATCAAAATAATCTTTGCAAACAAAGGATTCTGATTAGTTTGTTGATCTCCTAACGATAGAGGAAGTTTTGGGACAAAATTCTGCTTAGTAAGGGAGGTAGGGGTGGTTACGGGTGGTTCAGGTGTCAATGAATGAGCCTATTATAATTACAGTAAATAAGTAAGTAAAACTTTATTTACACAGGGTAGCCCATTCAGCTCAAGGCTGGTATCCATAGGGGCCCTAAATATACTAAATATATTTCTTTCATTCATCACGGAGCTTGCATCTTTGGTTGCACTAAATCTTAAATCTGTTCATGTTGTCCTTCAGCAGCATTGTTGAAATATGTACACAAATTAATCGAATGAAGCCTTGCACTGCTGTAAGAAGTAAAATGTCTTAAAAAAGAGAGCTTCCGCCAATCAACGGCATCATCAGGGATAAGGATCCTTCACACTCAAACAAGCCGTATGCCACACCCCCAAAGTACGCAAATGCATCAGAGATAAGTGCCCCATCTCTAGCAGCGG